AACTATTCCTTTTTGCAATGCAGTAATCCTACTCTGTCACGGAAATATGCATAATACGCCAGATTCCTAACAGTTGTATGCCAGAAATCACTAGTTTCCTCTGATAGCGTTTAACATATGCATTGAATTCTGACAATTGAAAGGATTCAAGCTTCTCAGTGGTAGAAGTAGTAAATAGTTCGCATTAGGAACGACTACCGTGACGAGGCAAAAAAGTCGGAAAACTCAGACCTTCAAATTCATTTTAAGCTCTCGATTGTATTTTTCACGGTACCCATCGCCTTTTAGACATTCCTATCTGACTCATGAGTCCCTTCTAGAGAAAAAGGTTGCTCATACTTTATTGAACTTAGAGAAATAACTCTCCATTAGAAATATTCAGCATTGAACTCTGTACAATCAAAAAACCTTCAGAAAACTATCTCATCTGCGGTCTTCAATTATAATTTCCGGTACCAAGAAACTGTGCGTAACAAAGTTGAATATGGTTCACGAACTCACCGGTGCCGCAGTCACAGTTAGCATAAAGCCATGAGTAACTCGACTCAAATTGGAAGGCGTAAGAAAACATTTTGGCTCCTCGAAAATCAACCCATAATCTTCTCCCGATGGCAGTTTCAAATCGACCACAACTCGTTTTACGACCTCATCGACATCTCCCGACTAAAAATAAAACGGAGTACCTATTTAATTGTTCACTTTTATTCATTTACTATCATGCTAAGCAGAAGACGTGATGAGACAAGGACTAATACATAAACTATCACAAGGTCGGTTTAGACCAAAACTCTCACAAATTAGGTATGGGGCATAGGAATGGTATGTTTATTTCTGCGGACATCAAAATAGAAAAAGAAAAAACAGATTTGCGACTGCTATATTGGAAATTACATAACGCACCTTTTTGTCTATAACAATAAAAGCCGACATGGGCCCATTAGCTTCGAGTACAACACTTGGATTCCATTGGTGAATCCTATCATCCACAATTACGGCACCCTTAATTAGTGTTGTTAAATCTATCTTCTTTAAAGCATTCTGAAGAAGCCTGAGAAGAATTAACAAGTGTGAAGCTCACCGCCTCGGAATATTTTTTAACATCATAAATCACCCTGGGGGAACGCCTTGCGATACCTCAAGTATGATCAACTCGTTCCGCAAACATCAATTGCAAATATAGATGCTATTAACTGAATTCTTTTCTTCTATGTTGGCACAAAAAATCGTGATAAGCACGCTTAGTCATCCACCATAGAATCGACAGCATTTTTTGGCTACGATTTCTTGACCAAACATCATGTAAATTATCCCAACAGCGAGACATACTCATCCGGTAGGCTTTGCATTGTGAGTAGCACTCAGAAGCAGGAAAAAAAGCTGTTTCAATCCGGAGTTCAGTATATCCTCGAGTATGACCGAGTTGGCCCACCGCTGAGCGCCGCAACTATTTACAACGTATTTCCCAATCTTCTCATATTGACAGGCGCTCAATATAATTGCAAGACAGACCTTTATTCGCCACTTAATCGGCGGCTAGCTCGGCCAGTTAACAGTGATCACACCCACATAGCTCTTACTTTATTGGAAACCACCAGAATGATGAAATTGTGCCTCAAGTTTTCTCTAAAGTCAGATGGCAAATTCTATTGACTTCCACATCTTCATAATTTGGGAAGTCAAAGTATTTGCCAGAATAGGACCACAAAGTTTTGCCGACTAGATTTCGTCGAGCTCAAGCGCTCGCGAACCACAAAAACATATTATCTTCGCAAACAATTCGGGCCCCTTAACGCCAGAACTCGTATGGAACGATGGGTGAGTAATTGCAAGAATCCGATGTCAAAGATGACAACGGGTACGAAAAATAAGCAAAAGAATGGGAAGGGTGAGCAATAGGTACTGGGAATAAGCAATATTCAAAATATCCAAAGATAAGTAGACTGCTCATTATATAAATGGTAATTAGGCATTGTCACAATGACTTTCGGTCAGGCTTACTCTTCAAAGCTATCCATTTTTCTAATCTTGGGTGGCCAACCATCCGAAAACGAGTTGTGAAATAAACAGAAAATTCTCAAGCAACGGGATGATTCTACAGAATCTTATTGAACTAAAACTTCACTGCAATATCGATGGTCATCAGCACAAAGAAGATCGATGGTCATCAGCACAAAGAAGATCGATGGTCATCAGCACAAAGAAGAAAGCCATGGAAGCTTGCATATGTGTAATCCTAATCCTATCTCATGTAACCATAGCCATAGCCAAGCTTTTTGAGTTATAAAAACAACAATAACCTCGAGTAACTCACCCATAACCTTGCAATCTGCAAGCGTTTGAACAAATGGCCGTTATCTGTGCTTCAATTTCTTTCCCGAAACATGAACTAATGACCCTCTTTTATATATTTTTATATTGTAAAAATCGCCTTAGTAGATGAAATTTCAAATCGACACAACTGAACATCAGGCTACAAAACTTTACTAATACGAAGACTCGAGCCCGAATCAGCCAACAAAAGAAGGGCCTCAATGTGACTTCGAGGAATCGTACCTTAATATCAAATTAAGCAGCAAAGTAGGGAAGGACCATGCATCATGAAAACGATACGCAGAAAACTCAAGCCTGGCCTAGGGAATAGGGTTAAGAAGGCGCCCGTGGAGGGTGCGAAAAGGTTTGCCGCCCCCAGCCATGGTTGACCTCGCCATTACGCATAACATTGACCAGGAACCCTTGCAAAATTCGATCCTACCTAATGCCACACAGCATTCATAAGTGAGTAATACTCTTCACTATAAAAACGGAACTCAAAAGTATGAATAAGGATCTCTACAGAGCGTACCTTAACAACGTGATCAGGTAGCTTAGTGTCGACCGGATTCAATGCTTTCACCGGCGTGTGAAATGACATCTGAACTCTTACTGTGACTTGCGACTCAAGTTATTCGCAATTCTATGAAGATGTATTTTTGTTGAGTTAATTACCCACCGGTTTCTTAGCAACACACAAATTTCATTCAATACTTTATTGCCCATCTCTGTAGAAAATAAAAAAGAAAACAAAAAAATGCGATGAACTAATCTCAATATACAAACGCATTATTCCACTTAAATAAGGGAAAACAGAAATCACATTTGCGCTCAAAGGAGCAAGGGTAGATATTTTTAGCAAGTGTGTTTTAACCGAAGCTAGATCGCGAATATCAGAATACGACGATGAAAACGAGAATAAAACATACAGGGATGCGGGTTCATGACGGCTTTGCAGAGCGGTCGATGCTCCAACCGCTGCTACAGCTAGACAGTGAGACTGAGCGCGCTTGCACATGTGAATCGGTGTCTGTTTATGCGAAACAATGAAAAAGTCCTCCAGCATGATCGCGACAAGGATAGAAAGGGGGAGAAGTACTGCAAAAGAAAAATATACGAAAATAGTCCAAAACAGGACAACTCAAAGCTAGAGACAGTATAAGGCGAAAGAAGGAACACGCGCGGTAATCATGGGGAGGAAGTCGGGGGCGAAGGAGCAGGGAGGAGGGGCCAGATTTTGGAATAAAAACACAACCTATAGTAATCAAAATTAATCAAATTGATTGTCCTTATGAATATATTTACAGTCCACATCTCCCGAAATTACTGTACCCACGGTTATCGAAACAAGTCAGGCGTGACCGCGCTGCGAATGCGCGCGTCTTGTCTCGTTTGCTTCGTCAACTGGGGGGACGACTAGTAAGGAGGCATGGACTATATGCATGTATGTGTGTATAAGGAAGAAAAGAAACACTCGTATAGAGCGCGATCTTTCGTAACCCAAATTGACAAAATGTGAAGTAAAAGGTCGTCGATTATCTCAGGCAACATGGATAACGTAATAATATCAAAAAGTCAAACAATCAACTGGTTACTAGAATTACGGTCGAGCGAGAGAGTCGAAAGGGAGAGAGAGAATTATAATTAAGTATTGACAACCTAAATTGGACAATTTAGGGATAGAATATATCGAAAGGAGCAATCACAAATACACGCACGCCTCCGTATGTACAACAGGTGGTCTGACACGCACGGAGCAACAACGAAATACAATAATAATAATAAAATCGAAAAACATCAAGTCACATAAACATGAGAGGAAGAAAGTGTGTTGGGGTGTGGAACCGCGACGACGACGAGGTTCGAAGTGAGCTTGGTATGGACAAAATAGTCACAGAATAGAATAGAAATACGATTATAACATTATATAGACGAAGAAAGAAAGCAGAAGAAGACCCAAGAGATCATCGTAACGCAACATAACGGTACGAAATAACGATGTCTCCATGCTCCTACCGTAGTGCACGCGAGGACGGCGATGCTACTTTTGTGCTAACTGCCCGGATGTCGGTTGCTTTCTTCTACGTCGACGGAAACAACAACATTTCACTTCCCCGGATTGCTCATCTTGCCGGTGCATATCTGCACCTCGCCCTGCTGCCGCATCGTCACCAACTTCACCAGTATTTGAATTTATTACCTGTAACAAAGATATCTCGTCAGTGGAGCAGCTAGTCTCGCATACGCAGGGTGGTACATCAAAAGTTCCCATCTATGCAAATAGTTTTTTATGATGAAAATCAGAGAGAGAGTGACCTTAGTTAAAAGAACTTATAGAAGCCCCTCTGCTGATACCTATTCTTCACAGAAAAGAACTTCAGCTACGTTCTGTAAGAAGAATCGCGGAACGGCAGGGTTGCATGAATAAGATGGATCGCATAAGAAAGTCCACTTGAATTATTGAAACGGGCCATCCATAAAGCATGAGAGCCCACGGAGAAGACTGGCTTCAACGACTCTTGAGAACGGTTTTCATTCGAGTACAATGGGCTCATTGGACGTACGAAAGGAGGACAAAGGACATGCAAAAACCTAGTTGATGAAACGGGTTGAAAGATGTACATATAAATGATGATGCCTAACATCAGAATCTCTTCTACCCACATTTCCCTTCAAATTGTAGCCACCCTTTTCGATTGAAATAACAGTTTGTTAAGTAGTAATCGCTGCGTGTATGGAGAGTAAGGGTCTATTTCAATTGTATATATCATTGCTGTCATGCTCGTTTTCAAGTATTCATTATTTCAGTCTCAACATGAACAGTCAGAACTGAACGGAGCGGAAGAAGGGAAATATAGGGAGCGCCATAAATATGACAACAATTTTACCAAACTTATGGCGTTGAAGGCCGCAATTGTTAGGATGATTTTTTCGAATCTGCATATCCCCTGCTGATTATGGTATACATTAGCTCATATATCTGCCTTATGTCTGTCTTGCAGCTCTCAAGTCCTCAGATTTCGTAAAAACGGTGGACCTTGATGCAATCGTTCGGCAAACGTTCCGTCTTTATGTGCATTCGGTGAGTCCTTTCCGGGGATGACTCGTCCTTTAGACCTTTCTCGCCTTACATTCTCTTCAATAGCGATACGTGGACAGATCAACGACAAGCCTCAATATGGTCGCCTCGTCTCAGTTACGATCCCTTCTCCGAACCAACTGCTTGAAAACCATTACGTTTGCCGTGCTGAATACATTCTGTTTCGGTCAGAAAAGTCTTCGCCGAGTGAATACAATCGTATCCAGATAGGTTTTCAAAGCTTTATAAGATTTTTGTCGAGAAGAAGTTCGAGAGAAAGCACTGATGTCGTACAGTATTTGCACGCGACACAATTTAGAAACTTTTTTTTTTTCGAAAACGTGTTCACCGCGAAATAAATGTTGAGCTCCAAGAGAACACGTAAGTTTCCCTTTACGAGAAAAGTTAGATCGTTTCTCGTAGCCATTTCCTCTCTTCCATGATGGGTTGGGCTGAATCTAGACATTTCACTAATTTTTGTCGAGGAATGTACAAAAATTAAGCGGATCATCCTTAAAAGAGACAACTCTAGAAAGGTGCTGCTACGGGTCAAAGATTATTACACGGATACGTGCAGAAAGTACGGCGCACTTGCTTACTCAAATATTACGCACATACTGTCTTTAACTATCAAAAAAACTCATTACATTTCTAAATGTAATTCGCAAAAAGCTGAAAAAAGCGCGCTAAACTTTTACCAACAGACTCCCCTTTGACTTCTGGAACTGAAATATTCAGATCATTGACTGGATAATAGTTTTGCCACGTTGTTGTTTCTTGGTTCGTTGTAAATTGCCTTTAGCATCGACCGCCAAAATACGAAAAGGGATTTGCGGTGCGGAAACTCCGTCTTACCCGAGTGATTACCCGAGTTGTTCATGAGCTCGTTTAAGGTCTCCTTCCAAAACGAAATAGCTAAGAACGAACTTTATAGATTAGTTTACTAGAAATACTGCTGTAAAGGGAGAATGGGTGGCCTTACGAGCGAGGCGCTCATTCGCATGAGAGGATTGCAGCAGAAAAGTGAAGAAAAACCAAGAGATTTCTATAAATATGACAATGTACCCCACTATCGAATGCCGCTATGATAATACCGTTCAAACGTTGTATACTCAATCAGATCTGATCTGCCATCAAATGTTCATTTATAGACTCCACATGTAGAGCTACAGGACATACTTTCGCTAAGAGTACCTTACTGAATGCTCCGGGCACGTCACTTCTGCGGTCCACATGATACTGTTAGAAACTTTGAAGAAAGGGTTTCCATTCAAGCTACGGCTGTTGTCTTTTTCGACGTACGGTATAATATTGGCCAAGCGGGTGATTTCGGTGAATAGCGAGAATTCAAACACGTCATAAACGGGGAAGAAAACAAAAACCCGTGAAATTAAGCAAGGTTTAGAATTCGTCGAAGAAATTTTATTGTGTCAAGTTTTCAAAAAAAAAAAA